TGTCAAAAACGAGATCAGGTTAGTCTGACATGACTTATTTTTCAGAAATCCATGCTGACTATTGGTGATCACAGCATTCCTTTCTAGGTGCTCACAGACTGTTTGCTTAATGATCTGCTCCAGAATCTTCCCTGGTATTGATGTCAGACTGACTGGGCGGTAATTATTTGGATCCTCTCTTTTCCCCTTTTTGAAAATAGGGACAACATTTGCCCTCCTCCAGTCTGCTGGGACTTCGCCTGTTCTCCAGGAATTCTCAAAGATGACTGCCAGTGGTTCTAAGATCACATCTGCCAGTTCTTTTAATACTCTTGGATGCAGTTCATCTGGCCCTGGAGACTTGAATACATCTAAACTATAGACGCATACATCTTCCATGCGTCTTTCTGCTTTATAACCCAAGGGCTTCCATTTAAAAATAGGGAGCCTCAGAAGCATGCATACTCCCATGTCCCCTGTGCATCAATGTTACTGCCCCATCCACTATGTCTATAGCTGAGCTGGGTGTCTTACAACAGTAAGACCTTCGAACAGGGAATGCAGGACTATCCCATCAGGGCTAAAATGTGGTAGAGGCATACTTTGAACTGATCATCTGGATAAGCCCTATGCTGACCCATATTCCTATTGTGATACCGGTAAGCTGTATATATTTTAATACCTTGGCTCCTAGTGCGGTGCTAATAGTAGGATTATTATTAGTCGCTGAATAAGCAAGCTTAGCCAGACTTTATTAGGCTAATGAACAGATTATATATTTTCCCCCAACCAATGTCCCTAATTGTCATGTCCTGCCTGCCATAAAACTGCTCGAATGATTGTTAAAACAGATACAATTAAAATCTTCACTTGGATTAAAGTTTCGGAGTGGCTGGCACCAGGGTCTACATTTCCTAATTCAGGCTAATAGGAGACCTTCTGCCTCTTCTCTGCCTTAAGCCAGAAAAGGAGAAGGCCAAAGGCAGGATTGGCAGAAGGAGGGCGGGGGATAAATAAAAATTACCCTCTTTGCAGAATATAAGTTATTCCCCATCCCCCTTGTGTTGCTTCCCGAATGAGTAATTTCTAATAAATAAGAATGTGTGTTGTGATTTGGGGATTTGGGAAAGCCTAATGGAACAATGAAGATCTTTCCCAGTTAATAAAAGTACTAAACCTTTTCTTTTTTCAGAAAAGTAGGCAATAAACAACAGCCTTTTTCTAGCACGTCCAAACTGTTGGGACAGAAGATAAAATTATTTGAGGGATAGATACAGATTCTCCCCCATCATCATCATCATCATCATCATCATCACACACACCCCACCCCTTCCCTACTAATAATAGCCTAATTTATTCATGCTTTTATTTGGCAACAGAAACTAGGCTGACCTGCCTCCCTTTTTATTCCCACAGATAAAAAGCGCTTTGGCAAAGGAAAGAGAGAGAGAAAAAGGCAGAGGACTCTCTCTGCATTTAAAGGTGTCTAGCATTGCTCTCCAAAGAAATCACAGAATTGTTACTGCCTCATTCATTGGCCCTGCTTTGCTACTTCTCTCACTCTCTCTCTCTCTTTCAAAACTAGGTTAAATCTGGGGAGGGAGAGAGGATGATGAATAGAAGCCAAGAAAAACTGAATGCCTGGGTTAGCTTGTTCGGTATACTGTACTATGGCATATAGTATTGCTGTGGATTATCTTTGCATCGACAGTGTCATCAAGCTTAACATCAGCCGGGTGATTTGGGGACACTGGGGAATGAGAAACAAGAGAAAAAACAGGAAATGTGATATTTCCTTCTGACCAAGAAAATGTGAGAGGTTTTACTTTTCCATCGACCTCGTGTAGGACCAAGTCTAGCTGCACATAGCCCCAAGTATGAATATTTCCAAGGGATGCAGCAAAGCTGCCTTAGTCAGCTGAATGCAGTCTGAAAACTGAAAATCTAATAAAAATGTTAATAGTGGGGAAAGAAAAGCAAAGAACAAAAGAACCCCATAGTTAATTGTCAAGTGCGAACTCTGGGATCTTTTCAGCTTCATGCAAGCAGACACACACCTCCACGTATGCTGAAGTTCTTGCCTCTTCATTAGGATGGATCGCCAAAGAGTAGGGACAGAGCCAACAACTCTGGCTCATGAGCAGCCGTGGTGGGGGTGGGGGTGGGGGTGGAGAGGCATTTGATTGCATGAAGAGAGGGCAGCCACTTGCTTGGCTAGCAAAGGATTCGTTTTGGCAAGGATTCCAATCCCCACCCTCCAGAAAAGAGCTGGTTTGAGTGTGTTAAGCATAGGCAACAGAAGGCTGAGCTGTGCTCCTCCTTGGATGTCTCCCTATAGCAGAGGGTATACACACATTCACACGCACAAAAGCTCCCCATTGTGCAGTTGAAAAGCCACCTTTCCAAAAGAATACTTTCTACAATTTTCTTCTCTCTCTCTTTCATTGTTGTAACTATTTTGGCTGTGGTTCCTAACTGCTGATGCACCCTGTTTTCTCTGATGCAGAAAGGAGTGTGTTCGAATTAAGCACCTGAGAGACAAAAACTGAAACTCAAATCTAAAACTGAAATCCTATGCACACTTAACCCTGGGAGTGCAAGCGCCATTCAGTTCACTGGGATATACTTCCAAGTGAACATATGCATAGTGTTCTGCTAGATGAGGGATAGTTTGTGTTATATTTTTACACTTGCCAAATATGAGCCAGAATTGCCAGGCTCAAAGGAAGGTGGCCTAAGGACTCACATCAGAAAAATAAATGGAGTTTCATTTTTAGAAATTAATAATAACATATTCCAGCATAGAAAACCTTACAACACAGGTTAGAGGTTGCACACCACACATACAGGTTGCATCCTGTGACCACAGTAGCCAATCAACAGGCCAGTAACTAGCCACCACATGTGAGGTCATATATGGAGTAGTAAGAGCAGTTTTCAAAGAGGCAGACACTGCATATCAAATGCATGAGGACAAGTGAGCCCTCCAAAAAGACATCTGAAGATTAGGAGGTCTAGTTTCTTCTAGACAGGAGTTAGCATGTGAAACAAAAGGAAACTGATCAGTGCCGAAAGCGCTTTCTCTGTGTGAGCTTATCACGCTAATGCTAAATACCAATCACTATCACGTCAGCGTCTTAATGTGCACTCCCATGTAGCTTTCCAATGGGCCGCCGTGAGTTATCACGGTTTTATATACTACAGGCATGTTTTGCCACAAAATAAGGATTGCAAGGCCACACCTGGTTCAATCTGTATCTCCTGATGAAGAACCTCTGAAATAACTACAAAGACACATCGCCTGAACCTGTTCACCGTTGGGTGTTCCCACCAGATATGTATAAGCATACTCAGGATCCGACACCCGATCCAGCATAATGCTGACAGCTCCCTGTTTATACAGTGGTACCTCTGGTTACAGACGCTTCAGGTTACGGACTCCGCTAACCCAGAAATAGTACCTTGGGTTAAGAACTTTGCTTCAGGATGAGAACAGAAATTGTGTGGTGGCAGAGGGAGGCCCCATTAGCTAAAGTGGTGCTTCAGGTTAAGAACAGTTTCAGGTTAAGAACGGACCTCCGGAACGAATTAAGTTCTTAACCCGAGGTACCACTGTATAGCAAAAAGCCAGGTGAGAGTCCAGTGCCACCTAAGCACTAGCTTGAGCATCAATTCCTTCATCTCGGCCAACACAGATTTAAAGTGTGGGACCCTCCACATTGCCTTCCAATTGGCTCTCTAATGTCTTATTTCCCACAACTGCCTTAATCCTCCCCTCTCATCGTACAGGGGATCAGTCATTTTACGCACCTCCTCTGCCACTCCTTTCTAATGCTAAAAAAGGGTAATGAAATACCGTACTGCATTTGCATCTTCTGAAGACAAATTGGTTTGAGATCTCACCCCTGCCACTCCCCCCTGCCCCTAAATCATAGGTGATATCCAGTTCTCAAAGCAGACCCAACAAAATCAGTGGGCCTACTTTAAGAATATTGGAATATTTATTTATTTATGTTTCTACCCCGCCTTTCATCCCAGAGTCGTCCAGTGCAGCAAACACACAGAAAGTTAAACAAAAAACAACAACAAACCTTTATTTTAAACAATTAAAAACATCTAAAAGCATTGGGATGTTAGCTGATTAATGATAATAATAACTTAGCATTTATACACTGTAGTGTATATTCTGAGTGATCCAAGTACTTCACAGTTAACTCAGTAATCTTCATCACATCTCTATCTAGGCAGCATAATATTGTACAAGATTGTCTAGCTAGCTTTCGACACATGGCGCAAGAACAGAGGCGCAACACAGGCTTGCTTGTACCTGCCACTGCTGCCATCTGAATGTTGTCGGGCAAAATTATTATCTTATTCTGAAGGCAGCTCTATATCGCGGAGCTTTTAATGTTTGATGTCATTGCTGTTTTTCCTGTATTTTTGTTGGAAGCTACCCAGAGTGGCTAGGCAACCCAGTAGGATGGGTGGGGTATTAGAAATAAATTACTATTACGGTAAACAAAAAGGCCACAAGGTTTTTGGTAGCTCAGTGAAAAGAATTAGGTCTACAGATCAAGAAGCATGTTCACAGATTACAGTGAACACAGGAGGATGCTGTCTCATCACATGTACAAATGTTTGTGTGAAAGAGGATATTTCTTGGTGGGAGAGGGCTCCCCAGACTAATTGAGATACTTAAAACAGCACAATGCATGGGATAATGCTTAAATTTGGACTAGGAGTTGCAGGGGCTAGGTTATGGCTACATAGCCATGGAAGTCACTACATGGTCTTCAACCTTACCAAGCTCATACGGTTGTTGTAAATGAATTTTTTAAAATGAATGGAAAGTATGGCTACATGACTTTGTCATTCTCTGCTTCTTTCAAGAGCTCAGTTTCCCAATCTTAAATTCTGGTTTTTGCAAATTTGTGCTAATATAAAAAGTCTGTATGAAGATTCACACACATTCTCATTTGTATTTCTCCTATACGCTCCTTCTGTAGACATTTTGTTTAGAATATGTATTCTACATAATTTTCAATGTTGTTAATGGTTTTCAAAGTTTTCATGTTTGAAATGTTTGAAAACAGTGAAAACTTTGAAAACCATTAACAACATTGAAAATTATGTAGAATACATAATATGGTATTGTTTTACTCACTTTGATGCCAGCCTGCAATTCTTTGGAAGGGCTTAGAAATTTAAAAAATGTAAAATGAAGGCAGTGTTGATGTTTATAGATGCGGAGAAAGCATTTGATAATGTTTCTTGGGACTTCATGGAAAGGGTGATGGAGCAGATGGGTTTTGGAGTAAACTGTAACAGGGGGATATGGGCTGTTTACTCAGAGCAGAATGCAAAGATAATTGTAAATCGGGTAACAACAAATAAATGTAATACACAAAAAGGGACCAGACAAGGTTGCCCATGATCACCATTATTGTTCATTCTGATCCTAGAAGTGTTGACTAGAAATATAAGAGAAGATAAGTCAATAGTAGGAATAAAAGTAAAGAAGAGTGAACACAAATTGAAGGCCTTTGCAGATGATCTGGTAATTACGGTAGAAGATTCAAAAAGTTCTCTCCCTAAAGTAATAGAAAAGATTCAAGAGTGTGGTCAAGTGGCAGGGCTTAAATTAAACAAAAGCAAGACTAAGATGTTATAAAAAATATTAAAGAACATGAAAAGAAAGAAATAACAGAAAAGATAGGAATAGAAGCCCACAAAAAAGTAAAGTATATGGTTAACAGCAAAAAATATTAACATATATAAGGATAATTATGAAAAAGTTTGGCTAGAAGTTAAATCTTCAAATATGGAACAGGATGAGTCTATCCCTTTTAGGAAGGATTGAAGCAATAAAAATGAATGTGCTTCCAAGAATGTTATTTCTCTTTCAGACAATACCAATAATAGCAGGGACTGCATGCTTCAAAGAATGGCAAAAAGAAATTTCAAGATTGGTCTGGAATGGGAAAAAACTGAGGATAAAAAATAAGATACTTACAGATGTGAAAGTGAGGTGGCTTCTCACTTCCAGATTTAAAATTGTATTATGAAGCTGCAACCCTAATATGGATCCGAGACTGGATCAAACTTGACAGAGAAGAGATAACAGACTTGGAAGGACATGACAATGGGTGTGGATGGCATGCTTATCTATGGTATGGAAAAACAAAAATCCATAAAAGATTCCACAATCATATAATAAGAAGAGCGTTGTTCAAGGTATGGGACAAATATAAAGAACTATTAGAACCCAAAACACCTCGGTGGTTATCACCTATTGAGGCGTTATCACTAAAAACATTGGAAAAAAGGGAGAATGGCCGACATATAGAGAATTGTTAGTAGACCAGGAAGGGAAACTAGAATATGATGAAATAAAAGATCTTCAAAGTTGGTTGCATCACAGGCAGCTAAAATATATTTTTAAAGAGGACAATAAGAAAGGCTTTTTATACATGATAGAATGCATTTTTATATGTTACTAGCACCTGCATTTTATTAATATGTGCATTTATGTATGGATTCTTTTGCTGGAGAACTGCATTGTGATGCTCTGAAAAGTGCGAACTTCAAAGAAGAGATGTGTTTCAGTTTGCATACCATTCAGGAAGTGTGAATATGGTCTATTTGCATTATAATGGGAACTGAACACATTTCTTCCCCATCCCTAGGGAAGAGAACCACATGGTACCTCATTTATGGAACTCTTTTTGCTATTATTGTGGTGGCACATTTTTTATCTACTGTGAACATGGAAATCACTCCCAGGAGAGTTTTAGCTATATTTCTAGAGTGGATGCATCACCACATTATTTCTTCACACAAATATCGGAACTAGACCATCTAGTAGCCTATCTAGTTCAGCATCACCCTGTAAACTTTCCCACAGTGGCTATTTAGATGCCTATGGTTTTGCGATCAGAGGTACCATTCTCAAAGGTTTGAGTGAGAACATAGATTTTTAAGGCCACATTCTCTTCCCATAAGGTCAAGTGATCCTCAAAGTGAAAGCTTTCAGCATTTTATTTGAATGTTTACTTTCCCCCCCAGAGATCAAGTGCTATATCTTTTCTGCTCCATTTCAGCTTTCGTAACTGCCTGTATTTGTGTTGGCAGTTCTTTTACAACCGAATCTTTCAACAGGTTAGCAAATATTGGCTCTTTGCCAGGACCCCTACTCCTTTCTCCTTTCTGTGAAATCATTATTTCTCCACCCCTCTTCACCAGTCTTTGCCCCCACCCCTTTCCCACCTGCTGCTTTTGAGTTGCCAAGACTTGATTGTGTAATGTGGCTCACAGCAATTAATGCATCTTTTTAAATATCTTTTTCATCCATTATTTCACCAAAAGCATGGCATAAAGAACGTTGACTTCAGGAAACCTAGGGCTTCTTAAACAAGCTTTTTCTGTTTTTATATATAATAAGCACCGCTAACTGTCATTTAGCCTTTTGTCTTCAGAAGTACCGGTAGATCCCAGCTTATTATGCCACAGAGAAAAGGCTGAAAGAGGAAAGAGCCAGCTTGAATATAGAGGCTTAAAAATATCACCATGCTTGTAAAAGTTTTACAGTAGGTGTGAGGAACCCTATTCAGCCCTCATTACCTCATGAGTCACCTTCCAGGGGCCACTGGCCGGTGGTGGACAGGGTCAGAGGCCAAAGTGGGTGAGGCCAGATGCAAAGGCCGTCAGAGCAACATATGTGACTCCTACTTTTGCACAGAGGGCCAAGGTTGCCTAAGCTGTGGCCCATGGACCACTGGTGGTCCACAAGCTCCATTCAAGTGATCTGCAGCATGTCTGTGCATTTGTGGCTGATGGTGGAAGGCAGCACATTCATTGCATTAAACATTCATATTGATTTTCAAGTGTCTAATAATAATAATAATAATAATAATAGTAATATATTTATTTATACCCCTCCCATCTGGCTGGGTGGCTCCCAACCGAATATTAAAAACACAATACAGCATTAAACACTAAAAACTTCCCTAAACAGGGCTGCCTTCAGATGTCTCCTAAAAGTCAGATAGCTGCTTATTTCCTTGACATCTGAAGGGAGGGCATTCCACAGGGCGGGCGCCACTACTGAGAAGGCCCTCTGCCTGGTTCCCTGAAACCTCACTTCTCACAGTGAGGGAACCGCCAGAAGGCCCTCGGCGCTGGACCTCAGGGTCCGAGCTAAACGGTAGGGGTGGAGATGCTCCTTCACATATACTGGACCGAGGCTGTTTAGGGCTTTAAAGGTCAGCACTAACACTTTGAATTGTGCTTGGAAATGTACAGGGAACTGTACTGCTTCTTGCATTTCCTCTATTGCATTTTACTGCATTACAATGTATGGAATTCACATTGTTAACACAACAAAACACAATGTGTTAGAAATAAAAGGAGCAATACAGATGCCATTAAAAAGCACACAGCATCTAATGCAGGCATCCCCAAACACAGCCCTCCAGGTGTTTTGGGACTACAATTCCCATCATCCCTGACCACAGGTCCTGTTAGCTAGGGATGATTGGAGTTGTAGTCCCAAAACATCTCGAGGGCTGAGCTTGGGGATGCCTGATCTAACGCAACATTACAATGGCACAGAAAAGGCACAGAAAGCATTAAGTGGTCTGCCAAGAGCCTCAGCAATTTTCAAGTAGTTTTGGGGCAGGAGGAGTTTGGAAACCACTGCAGTAGGCTACATTCCACCAATGTAAAAGCCGGAGGTTCCTACACACACATCTCTCCATCCCACAGCAAAGCAAGCAAGATGAATTATCACAGTTCAAAGACACATTCCAGCCAGCCAATAGCACTTGTGGGGGTGGAGGTGAAGCAAGGCCATTGAGGAGTGTGGTTTAGGGAGAAAGGGAGTGGCCAAGGGAGGGGAGGGGCATGGCCTAGAGAGAAACATGTTTTGCCAAGAGAATGGAAGTGATCATTTTACTCTTCTACAAACACTGCATTTGGGGCTCCAGACTGCGAAGCCATTTTGCATGTTGATTCCCCTTTTGATTCTGTAAATAAACATTGTCCTTTTTTTAACCCGAAATTGGGACTCAGTGGTTTGTTTGTTTTTTGCTACATTATCTATGTAGTTAAAGCAAGTACAGGTATGGTGTGATAACCCTCACACTGTATAATGAACTCCAGATTAAAGAACCCCAATATTATGCTTCTATAGTAAGGTTACCAGATTTCCCCCCCCCCCAATGAATCGGGGGACACTTTTCAACTTCAATGGATTTTGTATGGGGTCTGAGTTGTAAATCTGGGGACTGTCCCCAGGAAACGGGTACACCTGGTAACCTTATTCTATAGTGTAATTTGAGAGTTGAAGTCATATATGATAAAGGACATGTGCAAGCTTGGGAATGCTGGATCAACATGACAATTGAGTAATAAGTGCATTATTACTACATTTTTTTAAAAGTGCTTGTAAACAGCGACCCAACAGAATCATGCAAATCTTAAGAAAACAATATTGCACTATGTGTTCATCTGTGGAAAACTAAAACAAGATACACATAACCTAAGGACCAATTCTGGAGGAGTTGCTGTGTGTATCTGTTGCAGCAAGTGTGATAACCTTAAAGACTAACAGATGTGTTATGGCACAAGCCTTTACATGCTGCAGTGCCACTTCACCAGAAGTACTTTTTCAGCTGAAGGAATTGCTGAAGCCACAATGTGCTGCTTTCAGCAAAAGAGAAAACACGAAGTTGCTTGTCTTCCCTAATGTGCAAATCTGTTGCTGAAGCAAATCTGCTTCATTTTAATCTTTTAGGAAATGGAGCCTTTTGGCCACAATAGCTTCCATCTGCTCCTCTGAGTCATGTTGCTCTTTCCTCCCCAAATGATCAAATTCCTCCATGTATCCTTCTGAGCAATTTCCTCAAATGTTCATCCTTCCAACTATATCCTCATACTTCCTTGTCATTCAGGCAATCGAAGTGCAAGCAAAAGCCAGGTGTCCAGAATGGCCCAAGTAGGGGGTGGGGTAGAATCAGCTCCATTTCCCTCCTGTTGGAAGATGTCAGCTCCCCAAGCCCATCTTTCCCTGCTGGGCTCTGATGCTCTAAAACACACTCACACAGTAAATCCCATCCCTTATGTGGCAAGGGACTCTTAAGCTCT